GCTCCCGGCGCGGCTCGCGGAGGCCCAGCCTGCTGCGACGGCTCGCTGTGTGCTCCTCGCCCGCGCCTGACTTTTTGGGACCTGCACCGGGCGCTCTCCAAAACAGAGTTGCTTTAACTTGGACTAAAGCTGATTTGTACAATGCGAACCTGAAAGAGGAGGTAAAAAACAACATTCCCCCCCCCCCAAAAAAAAAAACTTTAAAAGGCCTCGGAAGAAAAAAAAGTGGGGGGCTCTTTGGTCTGAAGTCGGGCTGCAATTTTAAGCGGTTCCATGTCTGAAGTCAAGTAAAAGCGCTAGGACTCGCTCAGAGAGGTGTGCGTGTCTATAATATACTCCAGCGCGTCCTTTCAAAATGGTGTACTGCGAGAAAAGGTTAACGACTCATAAACAGACTAACTTTCAGGCTGTCTTCGTATTCCCCCGTAAAACGGCACGACTTAAATCTCAGTGTCAAGATATTAGCAAAGGCGAAGTGGCAATAAAAGCACCCTGTACTGATCAAACAAATTGGGCTGGAAAGCGGTGGGGGGGGGGGCAGCAGTTCCTGTACAATACATTTATTTCAGTGTTATTATTAAAAAAAAAAAGAAGTTTTGGAAATGCGTCAGTGCAAGTGTGCTAACAGATGTGCAGGCTGGTTTGCAGCCTCGCAGCAAAACACAAAGATTTTAAGTAAGTTGTGGAAAAGATGATGATCTCTGCCTTTCCTCAAGTTAAGCTTAAAGGAAAGTTTCAAAAGTATTCGATAAAGACGTTTACTTTCACTCCTTAGCATTTGATGGGTAACCTAAAAATAAAAGGCACCAAAAAACTGCTCAAGTGAGAGTAAAAAGTAAGTTTTTACTGTAAGACTCTTCAAAGTTTGAGGATATGGCTCTTCGAAGGACAGCCTGTTTCTAACCGGCACCTAAAATTTGGGCCGCGAGATTAGATATATTCATAGTTAAATTCTCACAGGCTCTTCCCAAATTGGCAAAAAACGATGATAAAAGAGCCCTAAAACCCAGCTCACAGACTCAAGAAATAATGTAGCACTTTAAAGGAGTCTTTTGAAACAATGTATTTGTGCTGATCTTTTTGAAATTAAGCCAGCTACGGCGACCCTTGTTAATATTTTTGCAATCCATTTGCTTGTAAATCTATTAGGAGATGTGCATATGTTCCCAAACTATTTCCTAGATCTTCAGCAGATATGTAAATGGAACGATGTTTATATTTTCCTGACAGATGATACAGAATGGTCATGCCATTTTAGTTACAGTGCTTGGATAAATATGCTCATGACTGCGATTTCTGTTTGTTTTGCTTTTCTAAACCACTTTCCAAAGCTTCCCCTTCAGACTGGAACCAAAACTTAACCAGAAAACAAAGCAAAAATTAAAAAAAAAATAACAACAACAACAACAGCAACAAAAAACACCCTTTGTCCCAAAACTTGTGTCAGTGAAAGCGGCTGTCAATTCTGAAGTGAAAAAATATGAAGTTGCTCGGCCGGGCCAGCGCCTCGGCCCCCCCGGCGCTCGGCGGGCGCCG